GGTAGCTGTGCTGGGCTCTTAACTTTTTACAATTTTTGTCAGTTACCTAGATGAGATCAAAGGGTGGTGGCATAGGGCATTGGTTAGGCCACTTTTGGAATACTACATTTGATTCTGGCCTTCCTGCCAAAGGAAGGATGCTGTGAAACTTGACAGGGTTCAGAAAAGACTTACAAGGATGTTGCCAGGGTTGGAGGGTTTGAGCTAAAGGGAGAGGCTGAATAGGCTGGGGCTGTTTTTCCCTGGAGCATCAGAGGTTTATATTATCGTGAGAGGCATGGATAGGGTGAATAGCCGAGGCCTTTTCCCCAGGATAGGGGAAAACTAGAAGGCGGAGTTTTAAGGTGAGAGGGAAAGATTGCGTAAGGTCCCTTTTAAGAGGGTGGTGTGTGTAAGCAATAAGCTGCCTGAGGAAGTGGTGGAGGCTGATACAATTGCCACCTTTTATAAGGCATCTGCATGGGTATATGAATATGAAGGGTTTAGAGGGATATGGGCCAAATGCTGGCAAATAGGACTAGATTTATAAAGGATATGGGGTCAGCATGAACGAGTTGGACCAAAAGGTCTGTTTCCATGCTGCACAATTTATTTACATTGATTTATTTGTCACATGTACTAAGTATAAGAATACGTAAGTACAGCGAAAAGTGCACAAAGTTGCCATGCACCGGCGCCCATTTGATTACGAAAACCAGAATTAAAAGATTTAAGTATGGGGAAAAAGAAAGTCCAGAGTCCCAAGTCCCACCCCCACAATGGTGTAAGCACCGCTACAATAGCTAGGACGCCTGTGAGGTGGCCCGCTGTCGTGTCTCACTGGCCTTGTCTTGCTGTGACTGCTGCCACCTCGCTGGCCCGCACTTACTGCCGATCTGGCTCACTCCTGATCCACTGCTATCACCGTAGGACATGGCCTGTGCGTTCAACTCCTACCACTCGGTTCCTGGTCGTGATCTGACTCCGTCCTGGCTCATGTGGTAGATAGTTAAAAAGATGGGGGCTGGGGGGTATAGAACTCCTCCTGCAGAGAGGAGTGAGGAGAAGAAAAACCAAGGAAAAGGAAAGAGAACTGGCGAACGGAGTGGACTTCTGAATGGAGTGTTACCCTGCTGCCATCTTGCTGGAGCTCTATGACTATGAGCTGTCTCTACTATATTAATAGTTATTCACTTCTTATTGCATAATACTCATTCTAATATGTCCTGTTCTCTAACTGGTTCCTCAATGTATTTGTCCAGAAAATCATTCCGTGTATGCTGTAGGAATTCCTCCTCGGTGGTATTGTGACTAATTTGATTCATCCAATCTATGTGCAGATTAAAGTCATCCATAATTACAGATGTTCTTTTACCGCATCCATCTGATTTCCTGTTTAATGCCATTTCCAACATTACTGCAGTTTCGTAGTTTGTATACTACCTCCACTCGTATGTTTTTCCCCTTGGTATTTCTCAATTGTACGCACAAATTCTACGTTGTCTGATCTAACAGCTTTCTTCAATATTGTGTTTATCTTCTCTAACCAGTAATGTAACTCTACCACCTTTTTTTTTGCCTTTGTGTTTGTTTGTCCTTCCTAAATGACTGGTTCCCATGCCCGGGTCACCCTGCAGCCATGACTGTGTAATGCTAGGAGCAACTAGGGATTGGCAATTAATGCTGACCCAGCCAGTAATACCCATATTCCAAAAATTAATATGAAAAGAAAACTTGGCTGATGATATCAGCCATGGTTTAATTGGTAACTCACTCACCTCTGTATCAGAGGGTTACAGTTCAAGATGCACTCCAGGGCTTGAGCACAGAAGCTGAGGTTCCCCCTCCAGTGTGGTACTGAGAGAATATTGCACTGTGGCAGTGTTATCTTTCATGTGAGGCATTAAACTAAGCTTTTATCGGCCTACTTGGTGAACGTAAAAGATCCTCTGGTGCTATTTTGAAGAGGAGGAGTTACCCTGGTGTCCTGGCCAACATTTATCACTCAGTCAACAACACAAAAAGAATGAGATCTGATTATCATGTTGCTAATTGTGGGAGTTTGCTGAGCACAAATCAGCTACCACATTTCCTATATTACAACAGTAACTGCACTTCAAAAAATACTTAATTGGTTATAAAGTGCTTTTGAGAAGTCTGGTCATGAAAAGTGCTATTTAACGCAAGATAATCCAACTGGAATACCGAATTGGAGTGAGCTCCTGTAACACATCTATGAAGCAGTTCACTGTATTAAAGATGCCATGTTAGTGCAGCTTGCTCTTCTTGGAAGGTATCCTGCTTTCTAACATTCTGACTCCATGTTTCTCTCTCCCAGAAGTATCATATTATTTCTATTAACAACATAGAAAAGTACAGTACAGGAACAGGCCCTCAGGCCCACTATGTCTGTGCTGAACATGATGTCATTCCAAACTAATCTCATCTGCCTGCACATAGTCTGTATCCCTCTATTCTCTCCCTGTTCAGGGGTCTGTCTAAATGCCTCTTAAACATTGCTATTGTATTCGCTTCTGCCACCTCCCTTGGCAGCACGTTCCAGATGCTCATCACCCTCTTGGTGGTTGGGGTGGGGGGGTGGGGTGGTGTATGTACTTCACACATCTCCTCCTTTAAACTTTACCCCCTCTCATCTTAAACCTATGCCCCCTAATATTTGACACTTCCAACATGGGAAAAAGACTCCGACTATCCATGCTATTCATGCCTGTCATAATTTTATATACCTCTATCAGGTCACCCTAGTAAAAACAATCCTAGTTTGTCCAAACTCTCCATATAGCTAATACATGCCAATCCAGGCAACATCATTGCACCTTCTAAAAAACCTTCACAACCTTTCTATAGTGTGGCAACCACACACTACTCCAAATGCTTTATACCACTACAACTTGACTTGCCCGCTTTTATCCCCATTGCCCTGATGGATGAAGGCAAGTCTGCCATACACAGCCTTTACCACCATTTCCATTTGTGTTGCCACTTTCAGGGAGCTATGGACTTGCACCCTCCAAAAATCAATGCTTCTAAGGGTCCTGCCATTTATTGTGTTTATTTTTCTCTTGTATTTGACCTTCCAAAATGCATGACCTCACACTTGACCAGATTAAACTCCATCTGCTATTTCTCTGCTAAACTTCCCAACTGATCTTTATCGTGCTGTGTCCTTTGACAACTTTCCTCCCTATCCACAACTCCACCAGTTTTGTATTATCTGCAAACTTACTAATAAGACCACCTTTCATTTTCATCCAAATCATTTATATTACAAACAACAGAGATCCTTGTAGAACACCACTGGTCACAAACCACTAGTCAGGAAAACACTGCTTCACAACTACCTTGTGTCTTCTGTCACCAGGCTAATTTTGTATCCAATGTACCAACTGATTGTGGATCCCATGCAACTTAATCTTCTGGACCAGGCTACCACCAGGGGCCTTGTCAGAAGATTTACTGAAGTCCATGTGGACTATATCCACTGCTCTATCCTTGTCAGTCATCTTTGTTATTTGCTCAGAAAATTCAATCAAATTTGGAGACTAGACCTCCCCTTCACAAAGCCATGCTGATTATATTTAAGTTCAGTCTTTTCCAAATGTGAGTAAATCCTGCCCCTAAGAATTTTCACCAATAATTTGCCTATGACTGATGTAAGGCTCACGGGTCTATAACTTTCCTAGATTATTCCTGTTAGCTGCCTTATTAGAAAGGAGTGACATTGGATATTCTGCAGTTTTCTGGGACCTCAGCTGTGGCTAAAGATGATGAAAGATCCCTGTCAAGGCTCCAGCAATCTCCTCCTTTGCCAACTTCAGTATCCTGGGATAGATCCCATCAGGCCCTATCTACCTTTAATATTTTTCAAGACACTCAACACCACCTTGTTGATATTGACATGCCCTAGAATATCAACATAACCCTCTGTCATCCATGTTCTTGTTCTTGGTGAATACCAATACAAAGTACTCATTTAGGACCGCCTACACTACCCCTTGACTCCATACACCAATTACTTCCTGTGTCCCTGAGTGGACCTCCCTTTCCCTAGTTATCCTTTTGCTTGTAACTTATGTATAAACTACCTTGGGATTCTCCTTAATCCTACTTCAAGAATATTTCATGGCCCCTTTTAGCCCTCTAATTCCTTGTTTAAGCGCATCCCTGCTCCCTCTATATTCCTCAAGGGACTTGTCTGATTTCAGTTTCTTAAACCTTACATATTCTTCCTTTTTATTTTTGAAAAAGCTTTGAATATTTCTCCCCAATGTTATCATCCTTATCTTTCATCCTCACAGGAACATGCCTGTCCTGAACTCTTATCAACAGGCCCTTAAAGGAATCCTATGTGTCAGATGTGGATTTACCCTCAAACAGCTGGCCCCAATCTAATTTCTCCAGATGCAGTCTAATTCTGTCAAAATCCTCTTCTAATTAGCTTTGCCCCCAACTTAGCACTTTCACCTGAGAAATAGTGTTATCTTTATCCATAACTATCTTAAAACTTATGATCACTGTTCCCAAAATGATCCCTTACTGAAACATTGATAACCTGGCCAGGCTCAATCCCCAGTATAAGGTCTATTCTCCACCTACCCTCCACCCCCCAAGTATCCCATCTATACAACAACAGTTTTCAAAATGTTACATCTGTTTGAGGGGGGGAATGGCCACTTGAAGAAATCTGTAGTATGTAAGTCGTCACCAAAAGGAAAGTCAAAGCTGTTGTCTACACACAGTAACTGGTGCTGCTTTGATGTCCTGCTAGGTTAATATATCACATGGTATGTTACTGACGTATTCATAAGAACAAGGAGGTTTCATTTTCATTGCTATTGATTTTAAACTAGGTCATCAGTAAACGTGATCCAATACGCTTATCTTTTAGAGGTCTTGAGGTTTGGTTAGAGATCTCGATCAAGGGGAATTTGTGTGCATTGTCAATGTGTTGTGTGTGAAGCATTTATTGTTTCTTAATTACCTTTACTGTTTCAATTTAGGCCAAGGCTGTGGCCTCTGAATCCAATGCAACATTCTTCAATATCAGTGCTGCAAGTCTAACCTCCAAATACGTAAGTAATTGTGACAGCCTTCAAATGTTGTGTTATGATCCTAGCGGATGTTATTACTGGACACGTCAGAACCCAACCTGAAATCTGGCTTGATAGATTTTTTCTTTAATTTAATGAGGTTGTACTTCATAGAAGAATAAGCATACATTGCTGCAGATTTGTTTTGACAATAAAACAAAAGTACAAAAGAAATGATATGGAGGTGGCAGTGTTGGACTGGGGTGGATAAGGTCAAAAATCACATGACACCAGGTTATAGTCCAACAGGTTTATTGGACCATAACCTGGTGTCATGTGATTTTTGACCTTGTACAAAAGAAATGATGATATAGTGCAATATTATTCCATTATTTACATGTAGCTATTGACATATGTTGCAATTTTGAAAAGTTTTGAAACACTGCAAAAAAAATTCCATCCATCCCAATACCATCACTGTACAGTGCTCAAAATACCAGAGTAAGTTCCATTTTCTATCATTATCTGTAGAGTCATAGATACACAGCATGGAAACAAACCCTTCTGTCAACTCATCCATGCTGACCAGATATCCTTTATCAATCTAGTCCCATTTGCTAGCATTTGGCCCATATCCCTCTTAAACCTTTCCTATTCATATACTGATTCAAATGCCTTTTAAATGTTGTAATTGTACCAGCTTCCTCTGGCAGCTCATTCTGTATACGCACCACCTGCATGAAAAAGTTGCCCCTTAGGTCCCTTTCATATCTTTCCCCTCTCTCCTTAAACCTATACCCTTTGGTTTTGGACTCCCCTACCCTGGGAAAAGACTTTGCCTATTTTCCCTATCCATGTCCCTCACCATTTTATAAATGCCAATAAGGTTGCCCCTCATATAGGTTTGACTTGTCAGTTTTCTTTCATTACCCAGTCTTGAGAGCTTGGTAGTCTTCCTTAATTTTTCACACAACTGAGTTTCAACTTACTTAACTTGATAACCCCTAACCAAACACTTCTGGTCTGGAATTTTCAAACTAAATACTGACACTGAGATGACCCATTACTGCTCTGAACTAACTCCTTTCTCCATGAGAAACCTTCTTTCATCTGATCACAGCTAGGTCTTTGGTGAAACTAAATCCAAAAGTTTTCCAATCTGTGGGATTTGTTTTCGAAGCAAAAAAGAAGTCAATACTTGATTCTGCTGGTTCAAAAGCATGTTTAATATCTTTCACGGTTTGGTTTAAAATCACGATTCCAGAAAGATGGACAGGTTAATTATTATCACTGCATGCACAAACCAAAAGTCACATGTTACTAGTTCAAAATCCAGACTCTCGAATAAATGATAATATGTAATAAATGACACACCTGACAGATTTTAAATAACTTCCTTTTACTTTGGGTTATTGGTTCCATTTTGAATTTTTTTATTGTAACGTGAACATAAGATACAAATGCAAGAACATGTGAAAGGGATAAAATTCCTCACCTGGGGATTGTGCATGGCATGGGGTCAACGTCAAAGTAACAATAGTAGGAAAATACCTCTGTTTTCAGAGAAATTGAAAGTATCCTTCCTGTTCGCTTATGTAACTTTAAAAAAAATTTCTCAGAAAGACTAACATACTGTGAGGGGGTGGGCAGGGGGAGGGTGCGTGTCTTCAATGAACTAAAATTAAACAGAGTTTACTGTAGCTGTAAAGCATTTAAGCACTCAACACTCTTGGTTTAATTTCACTTTTATGTGTTATAGCCCTCCATGTTGATGTTTTGGTAAATTGTTTGTTGTTATTTTGATGGGAGATCTGAATTGTTTGATCAGTTTCTTAGGAGTTGTTTCTGTTTTAGGTTGGAGAGGGAGAAAAGTTAGTGAGAGCTCTCTTTTCAGCAGCTCGAGAGCTTCAGCCATCCATCATTTTCATTGGTGAGTGCAGCACCAACATTCAAAGATCTGTACCTATTAGCATTACTTGTTTATATCTGGTACCACTGTATGCTAGTGCGTTGGCAGACAGAATTTGCAATGTGAGATTTTGTCCGTTTACAAATATATTGATCCTTCTCGCAGATGAAATAGACAGCCTTCTTTGTGAGAGACGAGAAGGAGAGCATGATGCAAGCAGACGCTTAAAAACAGAGTTCTTGATAGAATTTGATGGGGTGAGTACTGTTGGCCACCAGCTATATTAATATGTTCATTTTTAGGGGCAGAGCTCAAAAAGGTTAGTATTGTTTTCACCACAAGTGCTAGATATGAAACTGACCCAATTTGGACCACTTAAGATAGTCACTGATAATGAAGAGGCCAAGGAGGGATAATAGTTTGCAAGTTGCAGACACAATGGATGTTACTTGTGTACATTGACCAGGTGTTAATGTAATACTTGTTTTCAGTGTCATTGAACACTCCTGTACCAGAACTTTGTAGTTTTCCTTTGCCAGTACCCAGTCAAACAATTGAGATCTTGAGGCTGTAGAAGTGAGATGCCTTGATGTGTACAACTTACTGCACATACTCACATGCATTTCAAGAAGGCTGTCTGATTTTAAAACTCCAGTGGGATTAGCTTAATTGTAAACCATGGCACTAATTTATTTCTTGTACAGAACAGAATATAGTGAAATGCTGAGATAGTAGGAACTGCAGATGCTGGAGAATCTGAGATAACAAGATGTAGAGCTGGATGAACACAGCAGGCCGAGCAGGAAGGCTGACGTTTTGGGCCTAGACCCTTCTTCAGAAACCCTTCTCCAACCCCTTAAGCCTTCCACATCAAAGAGGGTGGGAGTTGAAGAGAAAACTGGGGATTTTTCTTTCTTCAATCAAAGGACAAACTGAAGGTGTTTCCGAACTTCCAACGATTAGTAAACTGCCGCGCTGCCATAAATAATAGAAACAAGCTATAAGATGCAAAACACACACTCACCAATTTAATAGCTGTGATTTAAACAGGTAATAAGCTGCAGCCTGTTTTCACATTAGTTGAACAGAACTCCTGTCATTCAAAGGATTTAAAATGAGGAGCCAGGAATAAAAGTGAAGGATAAGATTCAGAATAGGTCCCTAGAGTGTCATAAACCACATGTATTAGGAACCTCAGAATGAATCACTATTCAGAGGACAAGTAGGAACCTGTGGAGTTAACGATATAAATGCATTGCTGTATCCTACACAGTGGAGTCTGAGAGGAGGTAACAGTCTGCCGACTGAGGGTAAGACAA